TGCGCCTTGTATCGTGGGAGACGCCATTTGACACACGCCATACTGCAAAAGGCTTTCTGTCTCTTTCTACGAACATACTTTATTTATTGCAATTTTATTGTTATTTTGTTTTTAGTATGTAAAAATAATGTTTCCGATTTGTTCTTGTACAGGTGGATGTTTTTTTGTACCCGACTATTAAAAACAATATTTAGCTGAATCATTTCTTACTTTACTTACCTAAGTGATATGTATAAAAATACGTCAAAGAATGTTCCTTTGCCATTGCTTTAAAGATTTGACTTTCTTTGCCGTTATTTATCGTTACGAAGGTATTTTTTAAATGCCTTAGTGGCCGAACGGTTACTATGCTGATCTGCCAGGGTTCCGGGTTCGATTCCCGGACCGGGAGAAATCTTTGCACGGCCTACATTTATTTCTCTTGTAAGTTTGGGTGTAATTTGTGATTGTGTATGTGTGTGGTTGTGACTGACACAGTGTTACATGATACAGGGTTTCCCTAGTGCATGGCCATAGCGTGTGCGTTATTTATTTATATAGTTGTCATACAGTGAATAACTCGAATGTGATTTGTATGTAATAGTATGTTTTCATTCATTTATTTTAGTGTCAGTTTGTCAAATGATATACTTATTAATAAAATGTAGTTTACTAACCGACTTCAAATAAGGAGGAGGTTCTCAATAAGACTGTATTTTTATGTATGTATGGTACGCGATAAATTCGAAAGAAGGTACCTCAGTATTGGTCCCATTTAAATTTGAAGAAATATTCCACCCCTAAGGGTGGCAAACTAGGGGATGAATCCGGTTTCACGAACTTTCCGGTAACCGATTTCAATAAAACTTGGCAAATTATGTAATTCCACGCACTTTTGAGGTCGGTTTTTTAGTACTCTCTCTGTACTGAGATTATTAAAGACTTTTCGAACTTAACGTACACAACATATATTATATTATATTATTATATCGAGGTTTGGCAGAGTAAACATCATTCATTGAAATAAATAACGGAAGAAAAATCGTGTAAAATGGTGATTTTTTTATAGTTTATTGGTTCACTTACACTTATTACAATGTAATGTTACATTTACACTTTAAACTCAATTTGATGAAGTTATTATCTAAATTGCACAACTACTTATAAGTGAACACAACTTGCAAAAACAACGTAGAATATAAATTATATACAATTTAAAAACAGCAACTTAAATTAAAAAGAAAAAAGAAAAAGTAATACAAACAAAACCAATAAGTACAAGTGAACAAGGGTCTCGGACAGCATCAAACTAGACGGGAGAAAATATAAATAAATAAGGTTTAACATAACGCTAATGCGAAGTTGGTGCAGCGACTGCCAAAATTAACAAATATATTAATAAACAACATATTAATAAACATCCTGTGAACAAACCTTTAAGCAAATTTTGCCGAAAATATCTTCAGTACATAGTCAAAAAATTGTAGACCCAATGTCGCAGCTTTATTGAAAAATTATTGTACGTTATCAAACACCATTGCATTGAAAATTGTTTTCAACATTTCGTACAACATAAAGTTTATTGTGTTTGTATTATTTGACAAATTTTGAATATCACCCGGAATGTTTTTTTAGAGAAGCGTATATTGCGTTATTTTTTTAATTTAATATTTATTGCACAAGACAACACAAATCACGTTTAGTAAAACGGAAAACACAAACTAAAGATCAAAATTCAGGACACAATAATTCCAATAACGAGTTTACGTGCACTACAAAACAAAAATAAATTTTGTAATAAAATAATAACAATAAAAAAAAAGCAAAAACATTAAATTACTCTTGGACTATATTTTTTTTCGTAATATCAAGTGACGGGACGCACGAGTCGTGCGCGTGATGGTAAGCTACACGCCTGTCCATAACAGTTGCAGTGCCACTCAGAGCTTTAAATCGCAAAGATTTGAGGGGCACAGCCACTGCGCCCGCCCTGAGACATAAGTTGACAAGTCCCGTGTACCTGTAATTTCACCTTTACCCTTCTAAACCGGAACGCAGTAATGCTAACATTATTGCTTGGCGGCAGAAATAGGTAAGGCAGCAGTGCTTCCTTAGACGAACTCTTTCCCAAGAAGCTCTACTGCTGCTAAAGTAACTTAGATAAATACATATTTCATGTTATAAAATTTATTAAATGGATGAAACAGTGTTCCTTGACTCACATTTTAAAGATAGCTAAGGATTTACTATTATAAGCAGATGACGATGGCTGTCAACATCAGCTAGCTTATTTGTATTCCTCGTAACGGTAAAAGCAGATTACTAAGAAAAAGACAAAATTCGTTTTATGAAGACAAATTTATTAAATCCAACAAAACGATCCTCTCCCTATAGACGCTAGAGAATAATTACTTGATAATAGTAAAAAAACGTCTCAAAAGAGTATCTTAGTTATATCTAATATATCTAAATATTTCATCCTCGAGCAAATTAATTTACTCAAGCATGAAGCTACTCTAGATTCAACAACATATTTATTAGTTATTAGAAATTGCAGATTTTGTCTTGAAAAAAAGAATGAAAACTTGAGAGGTAATTAATTGTTTGACTGAAGATTTATTTATGTTTTCTATATTTAAGTGTGTAGCGCTGGTCAACGAAGGGCCTGCGTAGTACACAGACTTCAGTGTAGAAAGGCGTATATTATCAAAAAGGGTAAATTTATAGGGTTATGGACCCAACAGTATGTCTCACTAGCGTGAAAGCACGGAATCGTCTCAAAAACTTGAGTGCCATTCAGTGCCATATAAATGCTACAGCGGTGAAAAGCATTAACAGTTCAAAACATATGAGATGACTTATACTATTGAAGTTTACAAAACGATAGCGCGTTTCAGAGTACAACTAATGCCATCTAGCAGTGGCGCGATGGAATTAATTGCATGTTAAAATTGTGCTTGTTACAAGACAAGTGTAGTTTGATTTCATGTTGAAACCAAATTTCTTAAATTATGACTACAAATAACACACTAACAAACTTGATAGAAAAAGAAATTGCACTTTCTTATTAATAGAATTTGTTTTTCTGTGTATTAGCTTAGGAAAGGCAAACATTTTACGAATCTAAAAGCACGTGTATTTATTTGTTTTTTAATTTTAATCAGTTGTGAGCATGGTTATTCATGAAACAAGCATGATAAATTTTCAATACAAGTATTTAGAAACACAAGCTGTTCATAGATGGCGTGATTGGTATTTTATATATATTATATTCTGTAAATAAAATACCACTAACTATACTATATGGTATCATAAAATTCGTGAGATCCGCTGGTTCGTTCCGTGGCTTAGTTAGTATAACGTCTATCACGGCATGTTAGAAGTCTTCGGTTCGAATCGGGCCTGATCGAAGGAATTTTTTCTGAGTATTCGTATCTTTGTATTAATAATTATAACAAACTAGTAGAATAATTTCATACAAAAAATTAATGAATATCAATTCAATAAAAATTTAATTTATCATAGATTTGTAATTTAGTAACTGTAGCACTCACCTTACATTATACAGGGTGTTATAAAAATAATTATATGCGTTTAGATAGAATGAAAAATCATTTCGAATAAAGAAAAAAGGTACATTCATTTCATTGTTGTGTAAGACAAAAAATTGTTTTGACCAAATAACTTCTGCCTAACCGTATTGAGTGTTACGGACACGTTCACCGAAATATAATTAGTTTTTTTTGTGTTACACCCTATATAAAATACTATTTTTAAACATTATATAGGTACTGCCGAAGGATTTAGCTCAAACGGGTCCCGAAAATCCTGCTTAATTCAATCAAATTGACTGTAATTGATTCTTCCTCTTCAATTTGACTGCACTTGACTATTCGCTATTCAAAATAACACCATATTGCTAACCATAGAAAGCTTAATTTACTTCAAAACGTCTCTCTAGATTTGTGACCTTTAAAAATAAAAAAAACTTCCCAAATGGATAGCGCTACAAAGAATTTTAGACGTTTTCATAAATGTATTAGAGTTGAATTTGGTGTACATGCTCCCTTTGACCTCTGATACAGGAAAAGGGGTGCAAATTAAATCAAATTCATTCGGTCACAAGCTTAAGATGTTTGATAATAGAAACAAGGTAGCGTAGGGAATTGTACTAACGTATCAAGTACTTCGAGTGGTACTGTGAGGCAGAAGACTTTAACAGTAGGGAAAAAGTGAAGGAAAAGAAGAAGAAAGGTAGGACAGACTGCAATAAAAACAATGGTATAAAACACTAATAAGGTTTTAGGATGCTATTGAGCATGCCACGTTTTTACAGTGCATCAGGTATGCTTGCGGAGACGCGTACTGATAACTTCAGTGTGATAATACGCAAGAGAACTGCCTCACTGGCGCGGCGTGTGCGTGACAGATACTGGGAGTATCAGATCTGTGATACATTTCTTGATAACTTTCAAGTTTTTTTTATAATACGTAGTTAAGGGACGAACAACACGAGCGACATGCTTAACAGTTGCAGTGCCGTTCAGAGATTTAAATTGCAAAGATCTTACAGGTACTGCCACTGCGCCCGTCACCCTGAGGCATAAGTCGACAAGTCCTTCAAAACAGGCAGTACTTCCCTGGTCAATCTCTTTCAGAAACAGCTCTACTGCAGTGGTATCGGCATTAAATTTTTTTCTTTAAATAATGTCATTAACACTTATTTTGCTTATCTATAAAATTGAAACTGAATAAGATATAAGAAAACCGATTACAAAGAGTTGTAGATCTTGTTTCGTTGATTCCAGATGTGAATTGGTATTTACTTTTATTTTAGTTTTTACGACGCTACTGTATCAAAATTGTTAAGGACACCGTGCGTCTCGTGCGTTAGAGTGATTTTCTTCTTCGTCTTCTTCTTGCCGTGTCGATTCTGACGTTTATATTTGTGAGAACCAATACTTAGCGACTGACATAGCATTACAGTGGCGTTGTGCAAGCTCTCGCGTGTGCATGTGTAGGGACACGCAGGGCAGGACAAAAGATGTGCCATTGTCCGGGGAGAGATACCACACAGACATGCGCTCTCCGAGCTGTAACCCCACCCGTGCCTGCACTTGCTTCGGCCGACTGCGAACCTCCAGCCTATTTTGAGACTTGCGAGTTTGCTAAGATCATGCCCAGGAGGGAGGTGCTCCGACAGCTGGATGAGTTATCTCGCCTTCCAGAGACTTATTCGGGCCTGGTTAGTTTCCCCGGCTAGATGGTATACTTCTTTAACGAAGCTGTGACGAGTCTTTAGCCTCTGGATAACCGGCGCGTGATGGTATAGTGGGTGCCACGGGTCAGCCTTTTGTTTTACTAACTCAATCAAATACGTTACTATAAATAACTCTCTCTGACCAAAATAAAAATAAAACACTCAAACAAATTAATAAACCTCTGCATTTATTAACAATCTACCCTTAATTTCGAACTATTCATACCCTTAACTCGAATTGTTGAATAGCACTCATGGATTTCAATAGCACGTTCGAATAGTTTTTCGAATACCACTTGAATAGCTACACTGCGTGTCACTGTACTTTTTTACAAACTTACGTTTACGCTTCATAAAGACAGCATCTCCTACAAATGAAAGGGTAAATAATATTTTTTAAATGGATTTTTTTATTTGTTGATAAGGTTGGAAGGGTACTTGACATAAGTGGAAAACCGCTATTATGCAGTTATACATCTGTTGCCGATGATTTGAAGTTCTCTATTGACAGTTAACTTGAAGAGGACAGTTTGGTGAGCGGGTTTCATACAAAAGTAGTTTGATCTTATTTTGAATAGAAACTAATCAAATGAAGTTAAATTCTTGTAAATTGGACAACAAAACTAATATCAAAAATCTGTTTTCTATGATAAATTATAATATGTAGGAACTAAACAGTCTGATTAGATTATAAGCAGAAATGAAACCAGATTTTTAACCAACTTGGAAAAAAGGAGGAGGTTCCCAATTCGAATGTATTTATGTTACGCATTGACTTACAATTACATGGACGTCGGGTCCGCGCTAAAAAGTGTCCGAACTTATAGGGCGTTAAAATCGTATACAGAGCGTCATTCACGCTTTAGTCTTCGTTTGTTCGACTGACAGCGAAGCAAGCAAAATTAGACAGTACTGCGATGACATTACAATTTAAATTCAACGTTTTAACTTTTTCATATTCCTTTACATGTCACTACGTTTAAATAGGTTGACTTGGGACATTTTTTTCGTGGTTTTTGTATTAGACCCGTCGTCCATTTATTTGTAAGTCAATGATGTTACGTGATTGCTCCGAAAATTGTGAACCGAAAAACACGAATAAAATACTCGTGTGGCTGGTGGTAAGAGACGCGTCTGTCTGCAACAGTTGCAGTGCCACTCAGAGCTGTAAATCACAAAGATCTGACACAAGTTGACAAGTCCCATGTGCTTCTAATTTCACCAGCATCCTTTCAAAACCGAAATGCAGTAATGTTCACATTATAAAAGGTGGAAGTACTTCCTGGACAAGCTCTTTCACAAGGAGCTCTATTACTACTTATCTAAGGAGAGGATTGCTAATCTCTGGACTTTGTCAACACGTAAACGTCCACTGTTGGGCACGAGGCTCCTGGTTTTGTCATTTACAAAGTCCTAATCAGCTTAAAAGCTTACAAACACTAACGATGTTTAAAATATTAATCGAAGTAAATATAGTGTGTACAGATTATCACACGCGTTTATACAGAGTGTTCATAAAAGTATTATATTTATAAAATATTTGCTTTTACTTTGTTACGCTCACTGCGGGATGTTTGCTGTGCTTTTGTTTAGTAGGAACGGCTTACACGGGAGAGTTTTTTATGTTTTTCTACCGTATTTTGGACTGTTTTTTTTTTCAAACGCGTTTTAAATATTTTTTTTTCAGATTTTTACAAACGTCTATTGTATGAAATGAAACAACAATTACTAGACTTTGTAATTATTATGCATTAATCAACATAATTATTATAGACATCTAAATAAACATCAAAATGTGAGATTCGAGTCTTGTTCCAATTTAAACAACTGGTTCAGTAATTTAGATTGTATAATAATAATAATAACTTTTTTAATGATATCAAGTGAAGGAACTTATCAGTCGTACGCCTGATGGTAAGCGACACGCTTATCCATGACAGTGTCGCTCAGAGCCTTAAATTGCAAAGATCTGAGGGGCACTGCCATCGCGGTCGTCACCCTGAGATATAAGTTGATGAGTCCCATGTGCCTGTAATTTGACCAGCACAATTGGGTAATTGTGCTGGTGAAATTGAAGGGTTTCAAAACCGGAACGCATTAATGCTTGCATTTTTGCTCGGCGGCATATATAGGTAAGGTGGCAGTATTCCCCTGGACGAACTCTTTCACAAGGAGCTCTACTGCTGCCAAAACTATATTGACATTAAAAAAACACCAAATTTTCTATTAAAACATAATGACGTCATTGCAATATCGTAACCTCATTGTTATTACAACTATATTAATTATAAATTAGTTCCAGTTTAGTTTATAATAAAGATGTAAATCATACTCAAACAATCATTCTGTGTGTGCGCGCGCAATGCAGGTAGCAATGCGGTTCAATCAACAAGAGAAGTGCACAATCGGTGCGCAGTAGCCATAAAGCTATTGTTACCTATTGTTACAGCTCCACGTATATTTCTAGCGAAAAATCATTACATTGTATTTGTGTGTAGAAAAGTGATTAGAAATTCAATTTCGTGGTTATTCACTGAACGGTTAGGTAAGCACCTTACGTAGGTATTTCACTACTTAATTCGGGGTGCATGAAAGAAGCCTTCTCGCAATGGCTTACAATTCATGCCCTCTGTACGTCTGGTGTAGCCTCGGCAATATTCGGCTAGTACGATACGCAGATTGGAAATCACGATGGCAAACACGTCCTACACCTCTGCATGGCGTCTGTTTTTAGTAGCGCAGGTAACGGCAATAGGTCGTCATTATAATATAGTGTATGCCATCAATCGATAAGATTTTACTAAACGGCGAGTACCGGTAGAACTCCTTATTAACACACTTAAATAAAAAGGAGGAGATTCTCAATTTTTTTTTGTATGTGTGTTACGCAATAATTTGTGAACCGATTTTCATTTTGATTCGTTTATTGTTGGGAAGTGTATTGGTCCCATTTAAATTTGAAGAAAATATACCACCTATAAGGATGGTAAACTAGGGGATGAATCTAGGTTCGTGCACTTTCCGGTAACCGGTTTCAGTAAATCTTGGCAATAGATGTAATTTTGTACAGAGATTATAAAAGAGTGTATTCAGGAATATACCTCCACCATATCTATTTCTGTAGCCAAGCAGGATATGATGAGGATTACTGCGTTTCGATTTTAAAAGGTTTGATGAAACTATTGGTACAAACTCAACTTCATGTTTCAGGGTGACGGGTGCAGTGGCAGTGGCGCTTCGATCTTTGTTATTTAAAGCTTTCAGTAGCACTGAAACTGTTATGGATAGGCGTGTCACCTATCACACGGCTTGTTGGTCCTGTCACTAAAAATCTCCTGTTTCGATCAGATTGGAGATGTCTTCAAAAATACCAGGTTAAATCAAGACTAAACGGGAATTTACGAAATGAGACAACGAAAGAAGTTTCTCAGGACCTTAGCAAGATGGTTTCTTATAAAAAATAAGAAACCATTTTTTTATTTAGACATTTATTTCAGGCCACATGACCCATACAATATATACCTTAAGGACTAACATACTTACAATATAATGTGACAATAAAATAAACTATCAACTAATCTACACGTATTGCACTTGTCGGCGGAATGTGGCGCAATCCGCAAGTAACCGGCCGCGGAATCGCCGATATGCGATACCCATCGGCTAAAACTCTTCCTTCATGAAAGTCGACAGATGTTACGTCGGCACTCTCACCACAAATGCATTGGACTCCAATCGTTCGACCCTCAGGGTGTATTTGGCTTTTAGACTAATGGAGTCCACTATCTCCTCAGACTTCGTGGAGTAATGTACTCGCGACAGGTACAGCAGTGTCGTCAGTGTTGCCCAACGGAGCAGAAAGTTCGATCCTGTCGGTGCTGTGCCACACAGGTTACGGCTGGTGGGCTTCCTCTTCACCACCTTTGTGAAGCCGTCTTCGTCGCATTGATCCGTCTGCCTCTGTGGTTTTGCAACTTCGGAGACAGGCGGAGGTAGGTGTGTTGCATGAAAAATATATTCAACACAAGCTATTTTGCATTTTCACCGGGCTCGCTGCGTAGGTAGCAAAGTAATTTAATTTCATTGTTGTGGCCTAAATCCTAGGAAAAAGAAATGCCTAGCAGTGAATCTAAATTGGTTAATGACGATAAAAAGAATAATGCAATTTGAAAAATGTTCCCAACACTTTTGTTGTCAACGTTACGTAAATACATCTCTATAATAGTCAGATTATGACAGCTACACGCGGAATAATAAATAATATACAAATAAAATTGTGTGGACAGCCCTATTGTAGGGCTGCACGGTGAACGAACAGGGATTTTAAACCCTTCATAGTGATGTTCAAGCGTTTATGATTTGAAATAAGTAATTGGGATAAATATAATTGTACAGTCAACTGCGTGCTGTTCTTTAAACTTCGGACTGTCTTATTATAAGGGGCTTTGTGTTTAATTTAGACCTTAAGGGGTGTCACACAAGTAGTCGGTGCACACTTCGACAAAATGGTAATAATAATAACAGTAATGTGCCAGACAAACACTTTATAGAATTCCATGTACATGTACGAGAATCATTATAACTGCCTCCGTGGCCGGTTACCATGCTGGTCTGCTACGCAGCGGTCCTGGATTCGATTCCCGAGCCGGAAGAAATATTTGTATGGCCTACATTTATTTTTCTCATGAGTTTGGATGTATATATTTGTGGTTGTCTATTTGTGTGTCTATGATAAAAGTGTGTGTGTTAAAAAAATTTTTACAAAACTTTCTTTGCCAAATTTGTCCTAACGAGAATCGAACTCGGGACCTTCTCATCCAGCGCCAACTGTGCAAATCGTTTAGCCACCGAAGTCGATAATATAGTTCTTAAGTATTACTGAGATTTTTTGGGAAATAACTTCACTAGTTTTTACTTTTATTAAGAGTAATAAAACAAAGATGGAACACATAGAAAAACTTTTTCGACCCGATGGTACTTGAACCCACGACCATACTGTAGTA